CTAATAACAATATAAAAATCACTGGACACATTCTGCCATTGAATCTGGCATTAAAAAAAACATTCGTTATACACATTCCGTCTTTGAATTTGATCCTCTAATAATAATAAAAAAAACATTCATTATACACAGCTGATAACAAAGGCATTCACTATATTTTTTCCATTCATTGTGCTACTGAATAATGTGAATAGTGTTCTCTTGTGGGAAAGTAATGTATAACTAAAACTGGCACATTGCATGCTGAATTATCATTAAAGTACCTAAGTACTAAGAAACAATTTTCCATACCTGATGTCATTCGTTTTCCCGAAGTACAACTAAAATTTCCTATCATAAGAAATGCCAGTCTATTTAGCACTTTATCCTTATACTAAATTGAAAAGAAAAAAATCAGCATTTTAAATATGACGTTCTGTTCAGATCACGGTCTAGAAACCTCAAATACTTTCCTGGGCTTCTAAGAGAACTCCGCCTTCCATATCTCATAACGGGGAAAATTACTCCTAAATCTCACCTCCTTCTGAATATTCCTCATGAGACGCTCCAGCTGTCCCGCAGGAGGAAGCTGGACGTCGTTCCAGTGAGCCGCCTTTTCGAGGATCTTCTGCGCTCTGTCGAACTGGCCTCGGATCACGAGCCAGCGGGGAGACTCGTCCAAAAACCTGGAGGGATCAGAAAGCCATATAAGGGAAAGGAATACAAGAGCACGCTAACAAATATCTTTGAATTGTAAACTAATTAGATATCCGCAATGGCTCTTAACCTTCTTCAACAATCCTGTCTCTGGGAGTTGCTGGTCTTGGATTTTTAGATATGATTAAATGAAAATATATTAATACAAATGAATCCGTTTTTCTTTTGCTTAAACATTGGGCTGCTGCTTGGACTCTACAGCCATTCACATGATACTGTGACAGTTGGTGCCCCTCATACAGAACGAACGTGATTAAACTAGTTAAAGATCTTTTCGTCATTAGACATCTGGACCAAGTTTTTTTCAGTGTCGGTTCTCTTCCTGTTCGGTTCATCGCCAAGATACTGAAAAGCTCCAGTTTTGAAGCCTGCATCACTTAACACTCGTTACCCTACACTACATAATGTAGTTTGTAACTGAAGTCTTAATAATTATAACTTTAGAATTGCATAAATCACTACACTGCGTAAACTGATGTTACAGTTACATCTTCAGAATTACACAATGTCAACCACATCTTGCACTGTGGAATTATTGATATTCATCCATGTCTCTTTCTCACTGCAAGGGCAAACAAAAGCGCCAAGGGGCCTTACCACAAAACCGGCAGGAGAATCAAGCCTGGGAGGGAGACGGCTAACTGCAACCACTTCCAGTCTCGCAGAAGGTGTGCCCAGATACCCCAGGCGATGGTGCCCAGCGCCCAGGGTAAGGCAAGGAGAACACCCACGATCGACCTGTACCGAGACTCACACACCTCCATGGCTGCGAATGGGGAGGTGGCGTGAGAAAAGAACAATCCCTAATTATGAATTACGCGCAGATAAAGAAACAGCATTAGTTTAACAAATAAGAGAAAGAGAAAACCAAAAGAAAGGAGGAAAATGATAAGAGAGATAGCTTTCAAACTAAATAGGCCTCAAGCACACCTTTCCATAGAATACACTCCTTTAAGAATGTAGCATTAATGTTTGGCTGATGGCCGGCGATGTGGGTGGGTGAAGGGTGGAAGGAGTCCAGCGCTGACGTCGCGATCATCAGAGCGAAGGGCGTACTGAAAATGCCCTCACTGCGCAAAAATCAAAGCTGAAAAGTCCCCCTTCCTCTCACCTAAGACGTAGGCAACCTGCAGACCGGCTGGATGAAGGAATCCCAGGAAAAAACGCGAGGCGAGGATGGCCGTGAAGCTCGGCAGCCAACAAGAGGCGATGGACAGGACGAGGTACGAGACGATCCCCACAGAAAACACTGTCTTGCGCCCGAACCTGAGCCCAGGGGTAAGCAGGGAAAGTGTGAGGGTGTCTCGAGGAATCTCAGAAACAAAAAGGATAAATGAACTCATCATCTTTTGTATCAATTTTCACTGAAACATAACTTCTCTAAACATGATAAACAGAACGACGATATCAAACCTGCTCCAGGATTTCTTATAAGGAAATAGTAAAATTAATATTTTTCAGAACGAAATAAAATATAAGATTTATGTGGGTCTAACACTACCACAATTCAAGCAAGACATATATATATAATATATATATATATATATATATATATATATATATATTATATATATATATATATATATCACAATTAGTTATAGCATTGCTTTAAAATAAGCAAAAAGGACAAAAATGAGCGAGATAGTGATAAAAATATAATTGAAAACAAGCTTAACGACTCAGTAGCATGTTCTTGGTAACAGAAGGGATGGCATTGTCTACAAAGGATAGAGAAGAAGCCACAGGATTATATCAACACAGAGAGACAACCCGCAGAGACAGCGTGTATCTCAGAGTCACCAACGATTCACAGGCCGGCCAAAACAGCAGAATAATTCTGAAGCGCCATTTAGTACTAAAGACCAATCAGGCAGCATTTAGGATTACTTGTCAGATATTTAAGGGAATTCGCTTACCTGTCGCTGAGAATGCCAGCAAGAGGGGCTCCGACCAGCATCCCAAACATGTACATTTGTTCATACGTTGCCCGGAGGTAATCGGAGGAGCAGACGAGGTCAAACTGCAGAAAAAGAAGTCAGATAAGGTCAACGGAAGGAGGTACATTCACCCCCCTCTCCCTCTCCCCCCCTCACTCTCTCTCTCTCCCTCTCCCCCCCTCTCTCTCTCTCCCTCCCCCCCCTCTCTCTCTCTCTCTCCCCCCCCCCTCTCTCTCTCTCTCTCCCTCTCTCTCTCTCTCTCTCCCTCTCTCTCTCCTCCTCCTCTCCTCTCCTCTCTCTCTCTCTCTCTCTCTCTCTCTCTCTCTCTCTCTCTCTCTCTCTCTCTCTTCTCCTCTCCTCTCTCTCTCTCTCTCTCCCTCTCCCCCCCCTCTCTCTCTCTCTCTCTCTCTCTCTCTCTCTCTCTCTCTCTCTCTTCTCTCTCTCTCTCTCTCTCTCTCTCTCTCTCTCTCTCTCTCTCTCTCTCTCTCTCTCTCTCTCTCCTCTCTCTCTCTTCTCTCTCTCTCTCCTCTTCTCCCCCTCTCCTCCTCTCTCTCTCTCTCTCTCTCTCTCTCTCTCTTCTCTCTCTCTCTCTCTCTCTCTCCTCTCTCTCTTCTCTCTCTCTCTCTCTCTCTCTCTCTCTCTCTCTCCTCTCTCTCTCTCTCTCTCTCCTCTCTCTCTTTCTCTCTTTCTCTCTCTCCTTCCTTCTCTTCTCTCTCTCTCTCTCTCTCTCTCTCCCCTCCCTCTCTCTTTTCTCTCTCCCTCTTCTCTCTCTCTCTCTCTCTCCTTCTCTCTCCTCTCTCTCTCCTCTTCTCTCT